CTACCAGTAAGGCACTTGTTACTACTAGCGATGCACTTGTAATTACTAGCAAAGGAACGAATACTCTTTTCTATTCGGTATAATAACCAGGGTTTCGGAGGCGTCATCGACATGGCGCCATGCTGATATGGATCGAGGTGAGTCTCCGGCTGCTGGCGGGTTTTAGTATATTTTCCATGGGGTTTGCCAGTGGGTCTGCCTATTTTGATACACACCCATATGATGCTGCTATTCCCGAACAAGCATTGCTTGCTAGCACAATGATTTCGACGGGTGTAGAGGGTTGAAATAACATCAATAAAATCAATCCATGATAACCTGCGAACACTGTCAATCTTGTGGGTGATAGATTGATCATGACTGACCTAGAACTTCATGTGTTCTGCACGTACGATGGATATATTTGTGCGATGCTCGCTGGTGGAACTGGGGAAGCAAATCCACCCCAGGACTTGGTGGAGATCTTGTCCGTGGAAGAGAGTGAGGGGGCTCAGGGACCCGGATCGATCACAAGGTGCACTCGGCTGGACGAGTGAAACCGATTGAATTGGGTACTTGGCTTCAAGTCCTTTTGTATGGGGAGTGGAACGAAGTCGGTCTACAGCTAAGCTGGCCTCGATTGAAGGAAGAGCTGCACCCATTCGAAGTTTCTTTCAGAACTCATTCGACTGGGCGTGCAACGATCCGTTTGGGTCCCATCCCCTTCTTTTTCAGCGCCTTTGGGTCCCTTGCCCTTCAGAGGCAACGATGCGTGCAGGATCCGTGGTCAGGTTCTGCCAGCTGGGCGTCATTCCGAACCTTCCAAGGGGTCGGAACGGTTGGAGCTGAAGAGACGCCCACCCGACGTCTTCAACGCGATAAGCGATGGAATGAAACAAACGAATTAAGCAAACATCTCAACATGTTATAATAATTAGATGTTAGATGTCCCTAGTTTTAGATCATTTGTTTTTTTAATGTGTCTGATCTTTGAGTCTTCATTCCAGGCAGCGGTGACACGGTGGTCAGCGTCTCTTTCTATGTGGAGCCCGGATGCCCGTTGCTCGCCCGCCCCGCGTCGTTGGTCGCGGAGCACCACGACCACGAAGATCATCACTTGGGAGCACCACCTTCAGGGCCTTGGCGAAGTGAACTTCAACTCCCGACTTTTAAAGGCTTTGAATCTTGGTTTCATTGGTGAAACTATCTTCAGACATAGGCACTGAATCGAAAAAAAAACAGTTCCTAAACTATGTGACACACATTATGTAAAGCAATGGCAACTCTGTCCATGGGTGCATTCAACTGCGACCCTCGAAATCTGCATTGTTTTTTCTGGCTCTCCGTGAGCTTGGCACGTTTGCGTGATGGGCAACTTTGAAGGGGCAAGTTGAGTTGCGCTTCTCTTGGAGTCAAATAATTTAAGAAACTATCAGTCAGTTGAACCCATAAAGCATGCATGAGGCTCAACACAAAGGTTGTGTTTCCGTGCTACAATGTGGCGTTGTTGATCCATGGCCATAGCTTTTCTCCTACCTAACCCTCACTCCAGCAGCGTTTGTGCTAGGCCAAGATGCTTGCAAGAACTTGGCCCAGAGGCGAGCTTGCGTGGGCACTTGCCAGCTGTCATTTGACAAAGGTGCCCATCCAATCGATGAATATGTTTCATCCATGTGTTCTTTTTTTGTTATATCAACTTCGCACGTCGCAGGCGGAATTGCTCTCCTTTGGCATCAATACCAAGGCCGTTCTGGAAAAACCAGCAGCTGGGGGTTCTGATTTCAGGTCACTTTGTGGGGCCGTCCCCGTGCCGATCAGCCTTTAACAAGCAAGAGAGGTTGAGAGACCATACAATAGGACCTTGTAGTGGTATATATGGGATGGGCTATAGGGCTGTTCAACCTCTCTTGGAAGCTCAGTGCTCACCACTTCAAACAAGTCACTGCAGTCTCGGAAGATGTCGCAGGATCGGAGCCCGAGCGGCGCGAGGTCTCGCAATGAGATGGATGTGGGTCAACACGGTTGACCCCGGGTCAAATGAACAGGGACAGATACCTCTATAAGGGGTGTCAACCGAATTACCATGGTTTGGTGAGGAAGGTTTTGACCCACAGCCAGATGTGATCAAATTGTCTCTCCACTCTTCCAGGAAGGATGTAACCTTGTGGCTCCGTTGGAGTACATGAACGAGCGCGGAAGCGAAGACCGCGCCGTTGACAACCTTGTTTAGCGCAGGAATTGCCGCGGGTTGTTTGTTTTACGTTGGACTGGACTGAAGTATACAGATCTCATGTTCCTTCCGACCAACAATGTTACAAGAAACACTGAAGAGATTTCAGAGAACTCGTTGAGATTTCAGACGGATCACTTCGCCTGAGTATCTCAATGTCTTGTGGGAGGCTTGAAATGGGTGCGGGGGACGAACACTGGACCACGGCTGTGGCGCTGGATGCTTCGATCACCATCGGTCCGAACCAATCCGAGGCTGAAGACCCAAGTGTCCAACAAGGCCTCCGCCTTGTATCGGCCTCGATCTGCGAGAACAGTGAAGAGGGGCATTGAGACATGCCCGATGGCTATGTGTTTGGTGTTTTTTGCTAATCAGAAGGGACAGTATTATTGTTGTTCAATGTTGTTCAAAAGGCATTCTTGCAAGGAGTAGAAAGAAAAACATGTAAGGAAGAAGATGGAAGAAGCAAAAGAAAGAAACATGAGAAGCGATGACAAACTTGCAAAAGAGAAGGTCAAAGGCTCATTCAGAGAGAGGAATGAAAGAATTATTGTTCTTTGTAGCAATGGGTCATGACATGTCATGACCTTGGCACCGGTGTTTGAGAGGCACATGACCTTGTCCAATGTTTCGGTTTGCAGATGAGGTTTTACCAAGACCTGGTCCTTCTGAACAAGGCGACCTGGTCTCCACCGGTGAAGGTCTCCAAGGATGCACTTGTTCCTAGTAGGGATGCACCTTGCTACTAGTAGCTTTTTGTTACTAGCAGTCATGCCAGGAGCTGCGTTTTTGCTACGTCCGTTCGTAGCGATGCCGTTGCACAAGCTACTTGCAGTTTGCATCTTGAAATCTGGTTTGCCCACAGTGGACGGTTTCAAGATTGGAAGGCGTGTACGATTGGTCGACAGTGTACGTTTTTCTTTATGAAGCAAGACAGACGAAAGCCAGGCTTTTCATGTCGTCAGCCGGAGAGTCAAAAAGGACGTTTTGCCCTTTTGCCCACCAGGTTCGCGTGTGGCCCCGTTCGCGAGGTGCATCCTGAGAGATCCTTCAGCTTCGCTGAGCAACACTTCTGCAACAAGGCCGTCACCGCGAACGCGGTGTCATCAGCGTCTTCATGGGCGACTTCGCTTGTCCCTCCCTTTTTTGGCAAGCGTTTGTCAGAGGCAAACGGAAGGGTAGTGCACAGAAAGGGTTTTGCAAAAACCTATTCTACTAACATCGTGGAAGGCGCGGGACATTCGTAGAACCCAAGGCTATTCGTGGACAGTTCGTGGAATGGTGGGCCAGTAGGAGAACTGACTGCAACGAAATCCCAGAAACCTTCGCAGAACTTCGTGGAAGGTATTTTTGATGCACTAACTTCGTACAAGCGATTTTTGCTGACCCCCTTTCTCCACACACCCTCCATTTAGCCTTCAGTTTGGACGTAATGAGGAAAATCCGGACTTGTAATCCGGACTTGTGTTTGTCTTCCCACACAGTTTCTGAAAAAAAAAGGCGCCAACATCATGACGCACAACATCGCAGAACCAAGCCGCTCCGGTTTCCGAGGCCAGGCCATCGCTATGTTTTCCTCAACAAACGCATTTAAAAAACAAACAAAGTAGATAAACAATTCTAAACTTCTAAACAAAGAAAATAAGTTTGTCTTCTCTTCCTAAACTTCTAAGGACCAAATCGTTAGTGCGAGCGCTTCTTGGATCTTCAAGGAAGCTCCGGGGGAGCTTCCTTCAGAAGCATTAGCTATCCTGCGTCCAGTAGGTAGTATAGCTACTAGTAGCTAGTAGCTACCTAGTCTCTACTAGCTACCTAGTCCTACCCCCCCGGGCTAAAAACAACAAGGTCTTGAGTATATAATATGTTTACTCATCCTCGATTTGATCCGATTGTTTCACAACAGTGTCCTACAGGGTCTTCTATACGAGTGAGCCCACTCACAGTATGGTCGACCATGTATTTATGGTCTTGTCGATGGAAGTTCCGCCGTGTTTGCATTCGGTTTTGGCTCAGCCACTCGTCGTCCTTGGTGGGCTTGCTCACCCGGCTCCTTTGAACTGAAGAAGGGTTTTGGGCAAAGAAGCGGAATTCTGGTCAATTCAACCGTATAGCAAATCTATTTTACATTTGAACGCACATTTCCGGCTGCAAGAAAAATATTTTGATAAGGTCTTGAAGTTCTCTGCCGGCATCAGGCAAAATCGGCAAACATCAGCAAACACGAGCATATGTCTATTAAGGGGCTTTTCCTTGAGACAACATGAGACAACCAATCCCCAAAGTCGGAGCAGATTGATGATGGGCCAACTCTGTTCATGTTGGTCTTTGACGAGCCGTTTTTGATCTCCCAAAGAGGGATGCTGTGTCGTTTGCTGCGTACGATGGCTATTGTTTTAGGATGTCTTGCTTGTAGGATCCGGAACACATATTTTTACTGAGTAAACAGTTTCCTTGGTATGCGTCCAAGTCTGAGCGGAAGGCCCTGATGTCTTACTTGAAAATGAAAGGTCTGAAGAGTCTAAAGAAAAGTACTGGTACTGATAAGATGAACATGATAAGAAAAGTAGGGGGCCCATGCCAATGCAAAAAGCATGTGAAAAAAGAGCTCTTCCCCTTCACCAGTTGCCTATGCTGCCAAATCGAAAAGCCCTATGCCGATGTTCAGTCAGGAGCCCCTTTGGGAGTTTGGCGCAGTGGCAGCGACCGAAGGCTGACGGTTTTTTCCACAGGTTCACTTCATTCACCGAAGGTTGGGCCATTCTGTGACCTTGTTCTGTCCAAACAGGTCCTCCGGTGCCCCCGGTGCCAACATGAACCCAATAGACATGAATAGACTACCACACAGGTCCAGGTTTTCTCCACACAGGTCCATGGGTGTGATTGGGAGACACCCTCACCCTGCCGTACCGAGCCCGGGGGGGGTCGGTTTTGGAGCTACGCACCGTCGGCGGAGTCTTTGGGGGTCTCTGAAATAGCTGTTGCCGTTGTTTTTCAGCCACCCAAATGGATGACTCATAGATATCAATTCAGACCTTCCACACCTTTTCCAATGGTGAAGTTCTGACATGGCGCATTTCGCCTGAACATGAAAGGGCGTTTTTTTGCTATTTTACTGATTTTCGCCGATATTTTACTGATTTTGCTGGGCGTTTGGTGCACTAGTTTCTTATGTTTGAATTTTGTCAGTTATCCTTAAACATCGCCAAGGACCTATAGCTGACACCCTCCCACTGACCCACGTCAGCTATGGTCCTTGACTGCTTGAGCAGAGGACCAATTGACCTGGTCCTGGGCACAAACTCCCCAGTCGTTTTCTCAGCAATGGCTGCCCGCAATTGAAAGGGCTTCACACTCTTTTGTGTAAAAAACAGGAGCAGACAAAGGGCTTCTCAGAAGGATGCGGAACTCTCATGGTTTTCAATGACACAGTAAACAGAGCTCTTAGACGTCCTTCATGTCTTCGACATTTGGAAAGCAATCGCTTCAAGCATGGATTTGCCATGCTGACTTGAGGTGCACTGATCTAAACAACCACAGTGAAGGTCCATCATGCTCACTTGGCACATGGAAAGGCCTAAACAAATTAAAGGCATTTCCGCGCAATACTCGGTTCACGGCTTCTTCCGATTCTTGTGGCGAAGAGTCCGAATGAACTGTGAACGAATGACCTTGTTCTTGCTGATCAACCAGCGTTGCAGGCCCCAAGAGCCAATGGCATGAGTTTATTTGAGATGAACTTTAATGTTGATCGATGTTTTTGAAATGACTTGAGATGTTTTTTACAGAATCTGTGCACAGTGTATCCTTTCAGTTCTTGGTTTCGCAGGTCAACCAGCTGATGCAGGCCAGCCAGTTGAAACAAAATCCCTGCAACAAAAACATCCTGCAGATCTGGGGCAGGCAGTTCAATCCAAATCCTTGCCACAGAAACTTCCTGCAAATCCGGCCTGGCGGTTGAAGCCAAGTCACTGCAACAGAAAATCCTGCAGATCCAGGCCAGGCAGGTGAAGGACAATCCCTGCGACAGAAACTCCCTGCGGATCCGGGCCAGGCAGTGGAAGCAAATCCCTGCAACAAAAACTTCCTGCAAATCCCGCCAGGCAGTTGA